CCATTCGGATGCCCAAATCTTCGCCTCACCATACACAACAACCACCGTCCCACCCAACTGAAATAGCCGCAAGTGATCAAACTTGTGGCGATAACAGTCTGATTAGTGCTAAATCTCATTGTTTATGTATCGGATCGAGTAGATGCAGCATGATTTAGAGCGGAAACCTCATCGGTTTGAGGATGGATGATCAGGTTGATCATATCGAAATCAAATTTGATCGCTCCAGCCGGCTCCTCCATTTGTTCGCCACGAATTCGTGCGTAATTATCAACGACCACTGAGAAAAGCAAATCGTGATTGGTTGTCACAGCCGTATAGCTGGTTTGACTTCGACTGGGCTAAAACACTAGCTGCTGAAACAAGGTGTGCAATGTTGACAGCTGAAAAACTTAATGAAACTCGAGGCTTGCCCGATTTTAAGAGGATGAATATATTGTCGAGGACATCTAGCTCTGTGACCTTGAGGTTACAGTTAGTTCGATCCCACGTGAGAACCATACCGACCATTATCAATAGGGTAATATCCCCCATAGTTTGACCTCTAATAGTATTCATCCTGAGAGATTAACTGATCTGAGACTCGGAACATTCGAGCCTCGGTGAGATGATATCCTGAATTTACTAGCTGCCTTTTCTCAAGCTCTATCGGTGAAAATTGAAGACTGAGGGGAAAACGACACAAACCAACAAATTCATTATAGATGAAGTGGCCGTAGGGAATAAGGACGGCTCATCGAACGTACTCATTTTTGAATAAGGCCGGGCCGGGCCGGTACCGAGGCCACTTAACCGACTGAGCACCGTCCAAATCAGTTGAAACAATGAGAAAGACGTGTTATTGCGATGACAAAACTCATGATCTCTTCATGCAAAGTGATCTGAGCAAATTTGAATACCTGTAATTACCTGGATTACTTGGATTGGCAAGCAGCAGGCTATCAAACGTTTGTGACGTTGCTGGACACAATGCTCGCAATGTTTCCGTGCTGCACATTGTTTTAGTCTCAATTTAATCCGATGCTTGAATATTCTCAGTCTCAGATCGATTAATCTCTCAGGATCAATGCCATTAGAGCTTAAACTATGAGAGATCAAACCATTAGAGGTTTCTAGCTAAAAGCAATTCAACTGCATGAATGGATATCGTCGAATTCTAAGTTGAGGAAGAGGATGAAAACTTCAAATCCAATTCAATCCAGTGATTACGTTGATTAATTTCCAGTCGTTTCCTCCAGTTACGAATGGTTTTGCTTGGCTGAATGCAATGCACAACACATCAATCTCGTTTCCTCATTATCCCACTTATTTTCAGTGTTGTTTGCTAAAAAGATGAAAGTTTTCAATGTTTTTGAGTTTGTAGAACCAGGAACAGGAGCAATGCAAAAAAATACCAATTATTTTTTGGTTTATCCGAAACGATACGGAAAAAATGGCAGACTTAACGATGATTTATGAAAGTGAGTTAGTGTAGCTGTTTTGTGCGTCATAAAAAACAACTGACTTCACAACCATCACAAAACAAACACACTCCTTACGTTGGCGTAGAAAAAGCACGATGATTTGCAGCAGCAGTAGATGAAGGAAGAACAAGGCTATTTTTCAGTTTTTTTCTCATTTTCGGAAATGTTCCTTGCTTGCAACTGTTCCACTTTTTTTCGATCCCTGCTGAGTGTTGAAGTTGTTAGTTGCATTTGATCATTTGATTGTTTGTTGATCATCTGAACCGAATCGATTGCTCAATAAGCGCCTGGAACTAAAAACCAATGCGTTTTGTAACTTCCTGATTGGTTCGATGCCTCAGAACCAACCAGACAGTGATTTGATTGATAATTTTGATAAGTGAATGATAAGAAACAGCTGTTTCTTCAGCGAGATCTAATGAGATCTATTGATTACGACTGAAATCACCGTATCAAAAGATTTGTGGAAACGATCACAGCTTATCGTGCAATGCCTTTAGATCCAGCTTGTTCTCGAATATTTTTGATCGGATAGTATCGTTGTTTGGTTGCTTTATGCTCTAAAGCATCACAAATTTGCTGGGTTTTTAATATTTTGCCGTAATTCACAAACGTATTTACCGCTAATTTAGTGCAATCGACAAGAGATCATAGTTTTCATGTACTCTTCACTTAATATTCTCTGATTGATAAATGAAAAATGAATAGTACAAATCTAAAAATATCCGATAAAATCTTGAAATTCTTGATATCAATGCGTTGCCGTGTTCTACGTTCCGAGATTCATGCTAAAAATGATCACGATGAATGATCAGTCATGCCACTGATCAATCAGCGAGAGACGTGATCATTCTAGTGAATATTCTGCGGAAGACGTGCATTTTCGTGCAAAATCAGCTTGTAAATATCAGATATTGATTTCATTGACAGATATACAACTGAAAACCGTCGACCATCTAAAAACATGCCTGAAACAACGTCAGAACATCTCAGCATTTTTCCGATATGTTTATTGCTGTTTCATTTTGCTTCCTTCATTCAAATGTCTTACGTGATCGCCGATTAATCATCGATTGATGATCGATTGATCAAAATAAAACAATCAACAAAATCCAGAAAACATGCTGATCTGCTTTCTGATCTCTAACAATAAGAAAAATGTTACATGACAGGAGTTTACTGCTGTTGCTGTTGCAGTAGCAACAGCAGCAGAACCAATGAAATGTTTTAATAGGTTAATAAGTGAAGTTTAAAGGATATCATTGTTAATCCGATTCATTATCCATCCCGTTTGAAGTTTATAGTAGTGTAAAATGCGAGCAAAATAAATTCTATTAAATCTGATTCAGTGGATTTGCAGTGTAGTGAATGTGCATTGTACACAAATGGTGTGGATTGTTATTGTTATAGTGAAGATGTGGATTTGAGCAAAACAAGAGATAATTGACTGCAATTGTTCTGCTTGGCGAGTCGTGAATACCCGAAAAATTTTGGTGGCTTTAGATGGTGGATTTGGCAACTGGTGGATAGATTACAGATGAAACTTTAAGCAGGACATCCGAAAAATCCGGAACCACGGAGTTTTGAAGGAGATTTTCAGGATTAAATCGTCCGAATTTTACGCACCTCTCTTCTGTGCCCTCATTGCCTTCTCTGCATATCAAGTCAAGTGGCGATGAGAATTCGCTGACATTTGAATTTAAATAATCGAAAATTTTTGTGATCACTTTGTGATCATTTGTGATCATTTCTTGTGATCATCTTGATGAAACTATCTTGCCCTATTGCACACTCTCGTATCGGATATTCAATTTCGGTGTGTNTTTCTTGTGATCATCTTGATGAAACTATCTTGCCCTATTGCACACTCTCGTATCGGATATTCAATTTCGGTGTGTGATCATGTATATCGGATATTCAACTTTGCGTGCAGTTATTGCACTGGAAGCTGTTGAATTAGTGTGCGAGTGCAAGTGCGAGTGCAGATTGCTTTTTCATTTCATACGTGCATTATATCAGCGGAAAAAGAGAATGAAAAATCTATTTTTGTGATGAATAGATTATAAATTTCATATTTTTCTGTAGAAGCTCGTCACGATACGCCGGCCGCACCAAATGGAATATTTTCAATAGCACTGCAAAAAACAGCAACCAAACCAAAAACCAAACATTTGTGAATGCATTTCAGACTGCAATGACTCATCGCTCGTCGATCTCGCATCCTCGTCGTCGCCATTCACCAACCAACTAAAGTCGAGTGTTATTTTTATGTTCGTTCAACTGGTTTTTAGTACGTTTGCACTAACAACGTGCTTTTGCTGAACTACAATCACGGAACAGCTTAAGTCAACCAAAAATAATCATTCGACAACTCTTCAGGGCCCACCAATCGTCGAAATTTTCATTGAATTCCTCACAAAGCGTGATCAGCGTGTGACTCAACAAGACAATACTGATCATTTACAAGACAGCAACAATTAACCATTGAAATTATTTTTAGCAAATTTTAGAAATTTTAGACAGCATTTGAATTGAAATTCCAAACAGCATTCAAAGCAGCTTGGTGTTTTGTTGTGGTGGTGATAAAATGATAATTGAAATTGCTTGAGCGTTTGTTGCGATTGTTTGAGGAATTCATCAGGAGCCGACCGACCATTTCAACGATTCAATTCTTAGCGAATCACCCGCTGAATGTGATGATTGAATAGAGCTGAAAGGAAACGAAACAAAGCGAGAACGAATTGGCTTTTTGCATTGAATGTGATCGTCGTCGTCGTCGTCGTGTATTTTTGCCATTTATTTCAATTGATATTTGCTCTTTACAATGAGTTATTCATAGAAATTCTTATTTGGAATGTGCCAAAGGCATGATAAATTTACAAACGAGAAAAGGAATGCTTGAAATGGCATTCGACAACAAGCAGTTTTTCGATTTTACCTCTAAAATCAGATCACACCAACGATTGATCACTTTCTCGAATCAGCCATCGATCACTTTTGATCAAAACTTAGCAAGCCGTCCGATGCAGTCCATAATCTTAGGTCTTAGAAACCGATACACACCGTCTTT